CCCTCGTCGAGGCCGTGGAAAGAAGGATGGATATCCACTCGCGCCATCGTGGCCCAAAGCCAAGGTGCGTCAAGATCTGGAGTAGAAACGGTCAGGACACACTGTCGAAAGCCCGCGTGATATCAAGCTTGAGAAGCATACGCGGCACCATGATATGGCCCTTTTTTCTACCGCCAAACAAGGTGGCCGCATGGTAAATATGATAAATAAATACATTGCTTTATTTTAATATGTTTTATAAATACACAACAAATTATATATGTTGTTAAAAACAAGGTGGTACATGAATCTTTCAGCTTTCACAATACATCAAACAACAAACCTATTACCTCTGAAATATGCACACATGAGCAAACACAAATCAAATCAAGACTAGATGATTCTAAATTACTCTGAAAGCTCTAGCTTTGTCATAAATCAAACTTCTTTAAGTTTGACAAGTTTGTAGAAAAAGTTGCCATATCAGCAACATGAAATACATACAGTATGAAAAAATGGTGTATCTAAGAAAACTAAATTGGTGTTTTACATGTTGGTATATTCTTCTATAGACTTGGCTAAACATAAAGAAGTTTCACTTAGGACAAACCCAAAACTTCAAGGACTGAGGGAGTAAGAGGCTGTTTGGTCGGGCGCCCCGGCTTGCCAAGCCAAATATTTGGTGTTGACCAGATTCTTAGGCGTTGCTTGGATTGAAGCCAAACATTTGGTGTGCCCATGCAGCCTGCTACCAATGAGCTGGCCAAGTGCGGTTGGCGAAAACCTCCGCCAATATTTTGGCTCGCCCCGCACGTTGGCGTGGCGGCATAAACCAAACAAGCCCTAAAACTTATGTATGACATGCAAGCCAAACAAAAGTAAACCAGGCAGAACTCTAGGGCCTTGAAAGTCGGCTGGCTTATTTCCATTAGGCCGCCGGATTCAGTTCAGATAGCAGATTTGATCACGGGAACCATGTCGGCCGGACGCATCAGCCTTCTCATCTCCTCCACAAACTTTGCCATGACGGGGCGAGGCAGGCACATGGGCGCCGCAAGACCTTCCTCACCATTGGCATTCTTGACGGCAATAAGGGAGCTGGCGACCCCAGGGATATCGCGGATGCCGCCCTTGGCTAGTCCGGCATACACCGGTGTGCCCCACCCAAAGTCGACATCACGGAACCCGGCCTTGGATACGTCTGCCATCAGCCCATCACGTACGCGCTCACCATCGTGAAGTTCGGCCGCCCCCACCGCACCATGAGGCGCGCTACCGACCTCACATACTCCACATCCACCTCCCTCTTGGTCTTCATCATCAGCTCCACGGCGTAGCTCACCGGATTGGTGCAGAGGTCACCGGCTGTGGAGATGGCGACCGGGAACGCGAATGCATTGCCGTAGTAGCCAACGGGGATGAATGGGGTGCCGCTGCTCTGCTGCTTCTGGCCGCGAATGCTTACGAGGCAGATCATCCACATCTCCTCGTCCGCAACGGGGGCCAGCGCCATCGTGCGGCACCTCCACAGACATCCCGTGAGGACCTCGAAGGTGGTGGCGCGGCGGCGGAGAGCAGGCGGGAGGTGGGTGCGGATGGCCGCGACCTCCCGACGCCCGAAGAAGGAGTGTTGCGTCATGGACTAGAGGGGCACGCTGGTGTCGTTGCTATCCGGCACGTCATCGTACTCCCGGTGGGTGAATACTCTAGGCGGCGCCGGATCGTCGCGCGTGGTCATCAGCAGATCGTGTCCCCACACCGGCCTCACCGTGGGCGCTGCCATTCCCCGCGCCAGCTCCGCCACTGCGGCCAGGAACTGCACCATCCCTGGGCCGTCCGCCACTGTGTGTTGTATCTTCAACGCCAATGAAGCCTCTGCACGCTAGCCGTGTCACCTGCATTATTGGTGCATGAATGCATTATTTCTTCTATATATCTCAATCGATTTGAGATTTTCTGAGCTATTTCAATCAATTTGTAATAGCACAACTTCAGTACAACTTTTCTAAAATATGCATCATAAAAAAAATTACAAGTTATACTTTTTAGTAAAATTTTAAGAGAGTAGTCCATATTACAACCTCAAACTACCACCAAAGTTTAAAACACAACCCTGAACTACGAAACCATCTAGTTTACAACCCTAAACTTTCAAACCAGACAGAAAACAACCCTGGGGTGGTATTTGAATGGTTTTGACCAATCAACAGCCCAGTAATTAGCGCCAACTCATGCGCCATGTCCTCTAGTCAAATTTTGGCAAAACAAAAGTGTCCAGAAAATTTGAAAAAATTCTAAAAGATGTACACAACACTCATATTAAATCTCGGAAAGTTTCGACAAATTTTGCAGAGCATGAAAAAATAGAGCAAAAAAATCAAATTCAGAGCCATTTTGGGTCAAATTTTGCCCAAAAGAATTGTCCATAATCTTTTTTAAAAAGCCCCAAATATCCACACGAACCTCATATTAAATTTGGGAAAGTTGCAACACATGTTGCAAAGCAAAAAAAATCTTGCAAAACTTCAGACCCATTTTGGGTCAAATTTGAATTTTTGCTCTAATTTTTTTCTGCTTGGCAAAATTTGTAGAAACTTTCCCAGATTTAAGATGAGGATTGTGTGGATTTTTGAGAATGTTTTCACAGGTTTCTGGACAATTTTTTTTGGGTAGAAATTTAACCAAACGAGGATGTGGCGGATGAGTTGGCACTGGGTCGTTGACTGGTCAAAGTCTCAAAACCGGTCAAAACAAGTCAAATATCATCTAGGGTTGTTTTTTGTTCGGTTTTGAAAGTTCAGAGTTGTAAACTAGACAGTTTTGTAGTTCATTAAACTTTGATGCTAGTTTGAGGTTGAAATATGGACTTATTTCAAATTTTAAAGTTTTATTCTCCTGAACCGATTAGATTTCAGCTTTTCTAAACCGCGGGCTACCTAGAAGTGGATGAGTGGGGCGTGGAGGATGTCGGAGGAGCCGGGGACGTCGAAGAGGAGCTCGTCGAGGCACGGGAACGGCGGCAGCAGGGAGGCACCGAACTGGTCAAGGTGAACGTCCGCGTCGGCCTCGACGAAAAGCACGCCCTCTCCGGTGCAGTGAACGGCGAGCTTGCGGCCTTCAAGCTCCCTCAGCCGGCCGGCCAGAGGGTAGTAGTTCACAAGTGCCGTGGCGATTGCGTTCCGGAGCACTGGCGCCGGGTCGTCGTCCTGGCCGCCGTGGCGACGGAAGAAGTAGATCACTGGGACGTGGAAGCGGAGCCCGTCCTGGTCGTCGATGTCCGAGAGCGGCTTTAGCTCCCGCGGCGTCGGCCCCGCCGGCGCCACCAGCACTGCGGGCTTCCTGCGCACCGTGAACTGCAACGTCGGTGAGCTCGCCATGCCTATGCGCTCGGCGATGTGTGTCGGAGGTAGGTGTCGATAATTGTGCGAGTCTGCTTGTGGGCTGCTGCTAGCTATATAGGGCGTATTGCTAGTTTGATACACACAAAAAGTTGGCCGCGATCAAAAGGGAGCATGTGCATCGCCCAACTTCAGCATCCTACGCCACATGGTACTCAAGACCTTGCATTGCTCCCAGTCAAGCAAAGTATACACCGTTGTTTTGGGGAGTTTGGGGGTTGATGGAAACAATTGTACACAGTTAAGGGCATCAACCGGCTGTAAACGTTCGGACTGTGCTGTTCGGACAATTTGTGCACTCTAAAGCCATCTATAAAACGTCCACGGATCAGTCTGAATTCCCGCAAGCCGAAAGCAAGTCAGAGGAGGTTTGCGGACGTCCGGACAGCTATCATATCGGACTCCGACAACCTCGGCCCACACAAAAAAAAAACCCACATGCATGGAGCCCCGCTTTTTCTCACGCTGTCCCTCCACCCTTGTTGTGTATCCGCGTAGTCTGAGACCGCCGCCACTGTCGTACTACCCACTCCACCGCCCAGCCCCTGCTGGACCTCCGCCGCACCACCTGGGCGCCAGCTGACTTGCCTACGCCTCCCTTCCACCCCTAGTCTGGCCCTCACCCAAGTTTTCTAATTCCGGTCCGTGAAATATAGAAACAGACCGAAAACCGGAAATTCGGGTGGTCCCCGGAAAATACGGTTACCGTCCAAAAATTTCAAAAGTGGAGTTGAATTTAAATGACGATGAAGGTCCCCCCCCCCCTCCCTAGCATAGAGTCCTTAGGGATCATCACTGAGTTGCCACGATCGATCCATCAATGGTAATTAAGCATTACCACTGAAGGCGGTTTGCCATAGGTCGGTCAGTGTTGCGGCGTTAGTGTCAGTGATATCTAGCCACGCACGTTTGTGTTTGCCATGCCTGACGTACGTGAGTCGTTCGTGCTCCCGCGTGTGGAAATTGCCCCTGTTTTCTCTAATTTTCACCATTTCTCTCATAAACCCCTAGCCTGCGGTCGAGGTTCCCTTGCGACTTGGTTCACGAAAAACTTATGGGACCACGGCAAGAATGAAAATAACAGTACCGATAACTACTTTTTGCGTCAACAAATAACATTTTCTAAAATATGGTGTATGACCGTAATACAGGAGGTGTATTTCGCTTTTGCTCTAAGCTAGTGAGAACCACAAGTATTGTAGATGCACAAAAACGGAGGTATGCCATAGAGTTGCGGTTTTATGTTACAACAGCCCAAAAGGATGCCTCTTGTCGCAGTTTACATTTTATTATACTACTCCTTTCTTTCATAAATATAAGGTTCACATATTTCCAAGATTTAAATTTGACCAATAATTGAAAGATAGATTGTCGCAGTTTACATTTTATTATACTACTCCTTTCTTTCATAAATATAAGGTTCACATATTTCCAGAATTTAAGTTTGACCAATAATTGAAAGATAAATTTCATCAATTGCATGTCTGTATCACATAAGTCACAACATTATTGATCATATTCCTTGTTAAAGATAAGTCTCGTCGCGCATCAAGGCTACATTAACCAAATGCTTATGATTAGAGTATAAATGGCCCAGCCTTTTTTATGCGTGTATTCCAACTATATATAGTAGTACCCGCAAAAAAACTATATATAGTAGTAGGCGTGCATCTGTGTGTGTGACAGGAGTAGGACTTGATCATAATTTACTCGAACCGGCTAATTAAGTATGCATGCAGCTCTGCTCGATTCGTTCCAAACATACTAGTAGTACAAGAATCCTACGTTGATGGAAGGCAATGGAGAGTGGTTGGGCTCTTGCTCGTCCATAGCGCCATGTCGTAGGTTAACCATATTTAGCTCCAATGCATGCTTTGCACGCATATAATTTCCATTTATATCTGTGCCAACGCACTGCTGTGCATATTAGTCCTAAAATATTCATATCAGTGACAGAACAGGAAACTTTCAAATCTGTTAGCACTAATAAGGTGACGCCACAGACCACCACTCCCCGTTTCAGAGGCCGAATAAACGAGCAACTTGCTTATACAAGTATAGCAAGTAGCGGCATGTGCATACCAACTGTGGCTAAAGTTTTGCATGCAGCTCAGGTCGATTCGTTCCAAACTTAGTAGTACAAGAACCCTACGTTAGTGGAAGGCAATGGAGAGTGGTTGAGCTCTTACTCGTCTACAGCGAGGTGTTGTACGTTAATCATATTTAGCAGCCTAAAATATTCTTCCTAGAGTTGTCTAATGAATGCTTTGCAAGCATATGATGGCTATTAGTTTTACCTATGCCAACTAACCACACTCGGCCAAAGAAATACTAGCTCAGTGCACTTGCCTTCAATCATGTATGATCTGCACGGAATTAGCTACTTCCTCTGTTCCTAAATATAAGTCTTTTTGTAGAGATTTCACTATGGATCAGCAAAATGAGTGAATCTACACTCTAAAAGGCATCTACACTCTAAGCCTTCAATCATGTATTTAGGAACGAAGGAAGTACTTTACTTTGAATTAGATAGGCTTACATCTATCTACTACCACTATAAAAGAAGAGAAGAGCAGATCCAAATAACCAGAACCGTCTATCTATTAGATTCAAGGGTCTAAAACACCTCTATGTTTAACGCAACAAGCCATGCAATTAAGCCACGCCGCGCCATCGATCGCTAATCCTATCCGCCCCTTCTCAAAAAGAAAAGAAAAAAACGCTCTCCACCCCACGCCCTGCTCCTCGCTCATGAAACCGCACAGCCCCGCCGCCCCCATCCCCCCGCGCGCACGACTCCTCGCGGCCTCTCGCTTCCTCGCTGCCGGGCTTGCAGCTCGCTTGGCCCGCATGGCCCTGCCGCCTCTCCCATGCCCAGCGAGCGGTTGAACTAGACAAGAGGAGAGCTGCGGCAAGCGCCATGGTGCCGATCCGGCCACCCCCACCCTTGCTTACACCGGATCCGTCTCTCTCTAACCCATCTCCTGGTCCGATCCAATGGCGACTGCACTTCATCGACCTCAGGACGCCGCGAGGTCCTAGCGGCGGCGGAAGGCACCACACGGGGAGTGGAAAGATGGGGCAGCGGCGGCGTGCCAGAGTCTCTTGGGTTCCCGTCCCCTGTCGTAATCAAATCACAGCCACAACCGGCGAGGCTTCAGTTAACATTCCCAACTTCTTGGCCAATACAACGATAATCAGGTATCTATGAATCATCAAACTGAAGTTGGCTTCTTCATCTGTATTTCTATTGTATTAGATGCAGATATTTAGACATTTGCTTTAGTTTTTACAAACTGAAGAATGTGGACTGATTTGTTGACGTGGACTGATGCTTTAGATATTTAGGCATTCAATTGTCAAATTTGGTGTTGTCCGATTTCTGTTTGCACATAAATATTCAGTGCATGAGAAGCATGTATTGTGGCATTTCCTTCTGTCAATATTCAGTCTGAACCAATTAGGCGAACAGTTCGTGCTAATTTCTATTCATATGTGGTCTCTATGTATAGAGGCTCCAAGAAAGAAGGATGGGTGTGTAATACGTAGTCATGTCTTGGTTCATTCTTTTCCACTTAAAAAATATTTTAAGAAATCAAGTAGCCTGCTTAGAAGCTGGGGACCCATGAGTGTTACTGTGCAATTCCAGCTTCCAGATTATAATGAGGATCATGGAGCTATAGATAAAATGCAATGACTTACAATAATGTCTACTGACTTGGCAAGAGGTTTCTTATCAAACTATTCACATCTTATTTATATTTTCCATGCTATTTGAAGGTGAATAATTATCTTTTAGAATTGTGCACATTTGGTAAACTATTGTCGTTCCTACTTTCAGTTTTATGTAGAGAAATTATTTTATGACACTACATCATTCAGGGAGAACATACACACAATTGTGACGAAAAAGCACACACACATTTCAAAATCTAACTTTGACCATCAATTTAACAAACCAAATGTGTGTTATACTCAATACAGGTTATTATACCGTTGAGCTCATATTTGAGAAAAAAATAGTACTGCCTTCGTGCAGAAATACTTATCGCTCAAATGGATGTATCTAAACATATTTCAGTGCTAGATACATCCGTTCGAGCGACATGAATTTCCGGAGGAGGGAGTAGTATAATTTTCAAGTCACATAAGTTGCGCTTTGAGATAGGATAAAATAAGCAGACTTGATCTCTCCCTACTCCACGTTAAAGAACTCTTATTCAGCTGATTCCCTGCTTAATGCTTGTGTTTCGTACATTCATTTAAGGAGTTGCCTCTTCATAAAAATAAGTGTTCTGTCTTTTGGGTTCTACATATCACATTGGTTTAATCTCTGTGGGGCAGAATAAATCTTGTATGTTTTACATGTGGGCTGATACACAGAAGTCATTTTCACATCTTTATTCTGGCAAGCTTTACTATTATAACTTGATAGCATGTGAAATTTTGGATAATTGCAGCGCCTCACCCCACTCCACTCCATGCCAGCCCAACAGTCATGTTATTGAACACGGGAGAGAAACCGAGCACCACTTTTCACTTGAATTAGAAACGCCAAAGGTTTGGGATTATGCTCGTGACGGCTACGTCCATCATGTATTATGTCCAAAGCAGATGCCATGTGTTGATATGTAATGGTGGTGCAGTAATGGATGAAGCTCTATTGAACATGAAAGTTAAGATGTAATCTATGGTATGTTTCTGTGCATTTTCTTTTACAAATCTGCTCCTTCTCTTCTTTTAGATTGTCAGAGAGTACAATGATATGATCGACGTTTATTATCAGCTTATAAGTTCATTGTGACTCTGGTTTTGAGATAATGTACTACCGATATAAGTCACTTCTGCTAGAAATCAAATAGAATTAATTATAAGTTTCTACTACTGCATGATACACTCTGAACGTTACACCAAAGCTTGATAAGTGCACTGAAGAGAAACATTTTCTTGATGAAGTTCTTCCGTTTTTTAACTTCTGT